AACAAACTTTTGCAGGAAATCTAATTGGGAAAAACTACATTCTTTCATGCCAGAATGTAAATTAGTAATTGAAGTCTTTAATGTGGTGCTTAACCACGTACAAAACAGGAGCTACAACCTGGATTTTGGACAGTGCCTGAACTTACCTGTTCAGCAACAGACATTCTCCTGTTGGGATCCAAATCCCGGCCTTCCAACTTGGCTTTGACACGTTTCCACACGCTTACAGCATACGAATTCCGCTCTTGCACAGCTTTAAAAGAGAGAGGGGGAGGGAGGGAGGGAGGGAGAGAAAAACACCCCCACCATATGTTAAGTGCACATTATAGGAAAATTCACTGGTGCATTTGCTCATAGCAACAGAATATATTAATAGATGCTTTTCAAGCATGTTCTGTTTTTACCTTTCCCCGTTTTAGGGTCTCTGATGGCCTTTTTAGGGCTTGAGATAACACTCTTTCCAGCTCCTGCAATTGTGCCTGGAGGAGTATCTGCCGATGGCGCCAGGTTTTTCTGAATTAGTTTTCTTGTATTCTGCGACATGATCTCTGGCTGGGTTTTCTGTCCCGTATTGCTACGGACCGCTAATAAAAGGCAATTTGAAGTTTTGAAAAAGTTGTAAAAATGAACTAAGGCTGAGTTACAGTCAGAGAAAAAAAAGCAAGAAAGGTGTAGATTTGTTGTTTTATGACAAATCCAACCCCGCCCTCCAAAGAAAAAAACCCGAGTAGCAAACATCAGGCACCAATTTCTAAAACACGCACTTCAGATGCAAGGTGCTTTGAAGTATATATGTGGGCCAGCACATCCATTAATCCCTCAGAAATTAACAGGTGGCAATTTCAAAGTTAGGGCAGCAATGAAAATTTCAATGCCTTATGATCCCTGCACTGGGATTCACATGATCACCACATGTGACCTTCCCAGCTGGCTTCCAACAAGCACAGTCAATGGGGAAGCTGGCAGGGGAAGGCTGCAAATTACGACCATGCACCATCTCGCTTAATGACCACGGCAAAAAGTTTATAAAATTGGGAGCAGTCACTTAACGACCGCACCGCTCAAGGATGAAGTTTTCAATCCCGATTGTGGTCATTAGTCAAAGACTCCCTATAGTTCTTTTTTTATATATAATTTTTATTATTATTTTTTATTAATTACATTTCTTAGTGCTTAATAAACATTGCGTTGTCTGGGTATTTAATTTGCTTAACAATACATCTTTACATTCTTAATCTCCACCCCTTTTTTCCAACCAGATAAAATAGATTCCATGTTTGATAATATTCTGTGTCTTCTTCCTGTTTAATTTTCAATGTCAGTCTATCCATTTCTGCACAGTCATAGTATCTTCTTAATTATCTCGCGGTCTTTCTACCTACAGTTCTGTGGGGAGGCTGATATTGACTGTAGCCCAACAGTCAAAAGGAAGTTAAATGACATCTTGATTATTACTGCAAAATGTTCTTCCTCCCTACTGACAGGGTAGAACTATTTTTCACTTACCAGAAAAAGAAAGAAAAGAAAAAAGGGATCAGAATCTAAACCATGTCTGCACAAAAAGAGGGGAGGGGGTTAACCCTCTCAAGGAACAGCTTCCTACCTTTCCCATTTTTCGAGGAGGAAAGAAAACCTATTTTATTATCCTTCTGCCAAAGTGAATGATGATCAGGGGAACTGAGAGATCAAATCTGCTCCCAATTTTACCTGCGGCAAATGTTGGCTGGCACACAGCAACAGACGTCGGGCTGGAGCATTCATTCGGCGTATCCGTGATTAAGGGCGATGCAAAACTCACTAGATTATTGTAGACACTTTAAAAACAAAAAAACCAAGAATCAGTCAATAACCTTTTGGAGGTTGAGAGAGCTCTGAGGGACATTAAAGGCATTCAATCCGACCTTTTTAACTGCACATCTGTAACCTGATGTATTTACTTCAAAGATGCCTTTTACCACCAGGGTGGCTTCCTGGTTTTGTTGAAAAGCTCGTCACAGAGAATGCCAAATCATATTTGTACTGGGCAATCTAGAGATTTCAGTTGCTAAGAGCAACTACACTTCCGATACAGTTAACGATTGCATTTTAATTTATAGACAGATAATTTAAATTAACAGATATAAACAGGGACATCTGCTTACCTTTGGCTCTGAGTTCTCAGCTCTTTCAGGGTGGGAGTAATTTCTTGCAGCATTTCAATATGTTCCTGACTGCGCACCTGGCCCATAGCCTGAACTAGTGTAAACAGAACAGTCTGAATATTGTCTTGCCATAATTTATATTCTCCCAAGAATTGTCTAACACTGTTCTCATAAGGAACATCTTCACCATCAGCCAGAGCAGCTTCCTCATCCTGAAATAAAAATCACATCCATGAAGGACTTTTAAGAAATGAATGACCATGACTATTTCCTTTAAAAAGCCACAATGCTTGAACATACATTATTTATTGTTTAGGTCCCATAATGTATGGAAAGATTTGGTTAAAGGAGGTTTCAACACCACTGGAACACTGATAACTCCTTCCTTCCTTCCTTCCTTCCTTCCTTCCTTCCTTCCTTCCTTCCTCCCTCCCTCCCTCCCTCCCTCCCTTCCTTCCCCTTCCCTTCCCTTCCTCCAGCTCAGTGTCATCATATCTACTTCTCTGTCATGAATGGGATTCCCCACTGTAATGCTTGAAAATAGCCCATATGAAGCTTCAGGATCAGATTATTCTAGAAATGTCCATTATTTCTCCATGTGTTTTCTACACATTTTTTCAGTTTTTTGTAGATACTTCTAGCTTCTTTCGATAAGGTTTGGAGTTACTCAGACTGAGGCAAACTTGAGTAGCCTTCCCAATAAATGAAGAGGTCCAACGTTATACATATGCATCAGGCACTCATCCAAAATTCCAGTGGCTGCTAAATGCCAGGTGCCATTCTTAAAATTTCAAAAAGCCCAAAGAGAAATTCTAAGATCTCCTCTTATCTTCAGGGATCCTACCCTCAGCAATGCAGTGAGTCCTCCATCGCTACTCCGTAGTGCAAATCTTACCTTAGCCATGGCTTTCAGCAGATGTTTGACATCCCCAAGTTGTCGATTGTGCCCAGTAAGCACCGTTTTAATACTATCCACCAGATTTTGAATGGTTTCGCACACAGTGTCTATATGCTGTTCTTTCTCAGCCTGCGCCGTCCTCTGAGCCGACGTGTCCTGGGTCAGCTGCTTGTGAGCTATGACAAGCCATTTGGAGCTACCAATGGGATGGTCATGATTGGTACCCTAAAGAAAAAGGGAATATTCCGATAGCATTTGAGGTTATTAATTTAACTTGAATGAGCCCACTCAGCCACAAGTTGCAAGCCGCTTTAAGCCAATGGCTGCCTGCTAGGTAGGGCTCTTGTAAAGGTAAAAAGACAAAAAGTCCAGTATGACTCATTCAGTTTCTCAGAAGAATGTAACCAAGACAACCAACAAATACATTTATTCAGGGAGCACAGCATTGCAGAACATCTGAACTTTGTTATAAACAGAATCAAATTGCTCAGGAATCAAAAGAGGGAGGGGAAAAGTGAAGGAAAAGCAATTGTAAGGGAGGAAGCCACTGACAGTACCTAGTGTTCTAAGATGGCTGCCCCCCGGCCGCCCTACATACCACTCTGTGAAGCAACCGGAGCTCCAGATCAGTCACGGTGCTATTAAACTGGGATGCAAAGGAGCACATTTGTTGGCAACGTTTGATAAGTTCAAACAAAGCAGCATCAAGATTTAAGGCTTCTGTTGTTCTGGTGCGCAAGCTTTCAAAATGAATGATGTTACTACAGAGGAAAGTAACCTGCAAGACAGAAAAAGGAGGAGGAAAGGGTTTATCTTAAACCATAAAACTTTCCCTTAAGTTCCTTCTGAAACTTAATTCAAAGCTTGGGGTGGGGGGGTGAGGGAAGGAAACCTTTAATTCTTCCATCTCCCCTTGATAGTTTTTCTTATCCTGAGAAATGTATTCGGCAACCAGAGAATGTGATTTCCTTCTCAGTCATTCTCTGCAGTCTACAAGACTCAATCAAATTGTTCTCGGGATAAGAAAAGTGTCACCTAAATATTGAGCTCCCCCTTTTCTTGCAATTGATATTTAGGCTTTAAGTGGCACTGAATGATGTGGGTATTACAATGAACTGGGAAAATACAGCATCCTTTAAAAAAAGTCATTCTGTTTTTATCCCAAAACTAAAGTGATTCCCAAAGATTATTTTTAAATCTTTACTTAATAAATTATGTTAGATTGTAACAACAATTCTATGTGACATCATGTTATTGCTGACATGTTATGGAATTCAGCTCTATATCCCAAAACATCAGGTCCTTTTCTACAGCCTCTTATCCTTACTAGGTGACACAAAATTTGTCCTTAAATATGCCAGTTTTATTGCTTACATAAAAAAAAAGCTAATCCAATCATGCCATTCCTATTACCTGGTTTGCTCTTTGACTTTCTTTAAGAACAAGGTTTCTTCTTTCGGCAATTGTGGCATCAAAATCCTGCAGAACTGGGGCTAATGCTGGGTTGGCCCCACCAGCCCATTTCAAACGCTGCTCGATGCTTGCTTCGAGGACAGCCAATTTTTCCTGCAGGAAGTATGAAACAGATTAAAAGTCTGAACATTTTTGCTTAGGCTTGGGTCCTGTGCAGAAGTAATCTCTCTTATCTCTCTCTCTTTTTTTTTTTTAACAGTTAAGAGGAATCAAATGTTCAAGTCATCTGCGTAGCAACCTCCTTGGCATAGTTAAAAACACCCTTTTCAAAATGTCTGTGGAGATTCTCAGTCATTCAGGTCATGGGTTGTCCCAAAAGTGCTTTTTTCAAAAGGAAACGGGACTTTCTGGTTTTTCTTTGAAAATGTTTTGTTTCTCATCTCATCCAAGAAGTTTCTTCAGCTCTGACTTCCATTCCCCACCATCTAGTCAGAGCTGAGGAAACTTCTTGGATGAGAAGTGAAACGTCTTCAAAGAAAAACCAGAAAGTCCAGTTGCCTCTTGGAAAATGCACTTTGGGGACAGCCTTTTCAAAAAAGAAGCAAGGTGCTTTCCCCCCCCCCCCCTTTTTTTGTGTTAACCTATAGTAGGGGCGAGTGAGAAGAATCTGGAAGCGCCTTTTCCAGCCATATGTGAGGGAAGGCTTCAGTTTTCTTAAGTGCCTGACACATTAATATCTATTCTGCCTTTCCTCATATAGCTGGGTTGGTGACGCAGCTTACCTGAACTGCTGCAATAGAAGCTTCAATCTGCCCTAGAGTATGAAGTTTCTTTTTCATGCTGGCCAAAATGGCAGAACGAGGCGGAGGAGTGACTGTCATGGCTTGTGGGCGGTTGAGGAGATCCTCATGCTGCCACTTTTGGAAGAGGGAGGGAAAAAAACAGCATGTTCATTCAGCCTTGTAGAGATTCAGCAATTTACAATGTCACTATTACAGTTCTACATTTGCCCCACCTCGGTGGCATACGTAAGCCTGGTTTGCACACTGTGCCAAGCTATGATTTATTTAACTAATGTATAAAACCATATATCTGAGGATTATAATAAGCACCATCACTAATTGCAAAAGGCAGCTTTATCTGGAACATCTACCACCTTGATAATAACTCTAACATCTACCTATCTCCAGTTCTTGGGAAGGACTCAAATTGGTGGACAAAAACTCCAAATTACCAGTCTAAACATCTGGCTGACTAGGCAACATATTATAGTAATATACCATTGGATTCAACAACAACAATAAAAAAAAAATCACTCCCAGTTATTTACAACATAAAAAAGATTACCAACATAAGCGGCTAAAAACATAATCAGAAGTAGTAACTATAACAGTGAAGGCTATTATGACTTATTCATAACATGTGCTGAGCCAAAAGAAAACAAACTTCATTGTAACGTATTAGCATGATGTGGGAATCCACTCAGATTCAAAAAACAAAGACCAATACAGCAGAATAAGCAGTAATATATATTAAAAAATGTGCTGCCAGCACTATTGTAAGAAAATCTCCCAAGCAACAAGCGGCCGCATATCCTGGCTATATTGTTAACAAGCCAGAGATTTAATGTTGTTGGGGGTTTTGGGGTTTTTTAATGGCTTTTACTGTTTCAAAATGTTTTAAAGATTTTAATTGCAAAATAAAATGTTTCTGAACTGTGAGCCACTCAGAGTCATTTGCTAAGATGGGTGGCTGTAGAAATCAAATAAATAAGTAAATAATCAGGTTATTTACTGCCTTGTTTAATTGGACACAGTCCATTTTTGTAGTGCAAGTATTTTGCGCTGCGGTCTCAAGGAACTCCGATCTGGGAAAAGCCCTTCTTTGCAGAGAACGGGTTTCAGTTTTCCTGACTTATGGGAAGGATTCAGACTTGAACCACACCAACCTGGAACATGGCAATGTGCAGCTGTACCCTCTGGAGACTGGTCTTGCACGAAGAAATGCTGGTCTCCAGCCTCCTGACCAAGTCGTGCTTCTTCCACGCGGTGTCATATGAACTGGCCAGTACGGTGGCCCTGTTCATAACCAGTTGCGAGTATTTGCCAATCTGGATATTGTGCTCCACCGCTTTCTTGCACAGGTCATCCACCGAGACTTTGCTCTCGGCTCCGAAGTCCTTGGCTTCCACTTGAGCGATGATGTCCACCCCCAGGGCACTAATGAAGCTGCACAGGGTGAGTCCCAAAGCCTGATTGGGGAGGCCAATTAAAAGCTGGCGGACAAAGTCAGCGGTGAAAGCTTTGATTGGCTTGGCCATCTGGTCCTCGCTAAAGCAAGAATTCCGATACAAGGTTTTCACGTTGACCATGGGCACCGGCCCATTCACAGTGGTTTGATCTTCCATTGAATTGATACCTGGGGAGGGAGGAGAGGAAAAAATAGGGTTGACCCCTTTAGAACAAGTGCATCCCCCCAAACTTTTGTCAGTAGGACCAGCAATTGTGATATTTCAAATCAGACATCATAATGGGACAGTACGGCTGGTCCTCCATTTATGACCACGATTAGGCCAACATTTTTGTTGCTAAGCAAGAACAGTTGTTAAGTAAGTTTTGCCCCATTGTATGACCTTTCTTGCCACAGTGGTTAAGTGGATCATTGCGGTTGTTAAGTCAGTCACACAGTTGTTAAGGGAATCGGATTTCCCCATTGTTTGGAATTTTTATCATGTGATCAGGGGGATGCAGCAAAAATCATAAGTGTGAAAAACGGTCCTAAGTCACTTTTTTCACTACTGTTGTAACTTTGAACACTCACAAACCTGTCTTTTCAACTTTGCTGGTATGGTAGATCACAGCTTCAGTCCTCAGGTTTAAATCCAATTTTCTTATTGCTTTTTCCATCTAAAGTTAGTAATATTTGCCTCCGAGTGGCTTTTTAATTCAAAAGCCCAAGGCAAGAAGTACTATTTAATCAGCTTTGCGGTGAAAACAAAAATAAGAAGAAAAATACATATTTACCTGAAAGAGTCTTAGAAAAAGTGCCACAGAGTCTGAAAAACTCCTTTATTGTCTGCAGCCTTTTCAAAAAGAAAATCTCTTCTAAGACTTGCCGATTGTTATCATCATCAAAAAAGTTTGCTTGAGTGCCGCGGGCTTCCCTGATGATATCAATCTTGCGCCAGGCGGCAGGAATTTCCATCTTGTTTAGCTGTAGGGCAATTAAATTAAATTAAATTAAGCAGAAAGTTAGCTTGCCTTATACCTACTTCAATAAGTTTTGCTGAGACCCAGGATGCTACAGAGGTTAAAGGCACCAGGCTAGAAACTGGGAGACCCAGCAGCTCTGCCTTAGGCATAAAACCAGCTGGATGACTGTGCCAGTCACTCTCTCTCAACCCTAGGAAGAAGGAATTGGCAAACTTGCTTTGAGAAAACATTGCTGGGACTTATCCATGTAGTCACCAGTAGTCGAGATTGAGTACTTCCCTCCAAAATTGCAAGTAAATCTATACCTTTTCAACCAATAAGCCAAATGCTGTTTCCACTTGAGCGAACATGCCATCAAATGCTACCAATAACATCTGGCCTGCTGACATTTTGGGGGTTTCCTCAACGGAGCCATTTCTGGGTTGAATCAGTTCGCCATACTGGGCATGAAGCATCCTAAAGAAAGAAGGATTTTACATGTTAAGCTACGTTTTATCCTGAACAGGCATGCAGACAGGGGGAGTGGCAACGGCTCCCCTGAGGCTGCTGCCTACACAAATTCACTTATTCACTAGCCGCATTTATAAAGCACCGTACTCCTCCAAGACGCTTAGTGGTTTATAACAGAAATTAAAATCAACCACGAGCACAAGAGACACTAATAAGTCAAATCCCACAAGGCTAGAAGCATTACTCACTGTCCTTCCAGCAATGTGCTTGACCATTTAAAAACTCTGTGAAAACCTCAGTATTAACTGTGAGAAGGTATCATATAGATCGGGGGGGGGGAATGTTGTTCTAAAAGGAGGGGTTCCATAACTTAAAAACACTGGCTCCTCTTCTCTCACCCCCTGCTGAATCTTATATGGGGGAACCCTGAACATCCCTACTTGTAACAATGAGCAGGTGGCCCTGAAGGTACATAAGCCACGTTCGACTTAACATTCAACACTCTGAATTGAACTTGGGTAGTGCACTGACAACCAATCCTTCATGTTTTGTGACTGTCATTCATCAGAAAGTGGGCTGTTGCATTATGTATCAACTGAGGCTTCCAGATAGTCTATAAAGGCAGCCCCATGTAGAGTAGACTAATCTGTCAGCGTTCCAGCAAACCTCCACTCCAGCCAATAACTCCAAGACAGACATCTTCTCAAAAGTTCTGTTTTTATTTGGATAGTAAACTGGCACAACTGGGGGAATCCCGAATCTGAAAATTCCGGGCTTCCTTGCAATAATCAAAACTACAAATCCAAACCCCTACACCCATCACCACATCACATGCCCCAATCATCATCCGTCCCAACTTAAGACTTCCCTTCACATATGCGCACAATAGCATGGCCTTGAACTACAAAAAGAATGTTATTTTGTCTAACTACACATTCCCCAAGAACTTCCACCCTCCCACTTTCCCAGGCTCAAAATGTGGCAGCGTGGGAGCATCTGGTTTCAATGTGGCTTCCAAAACTGACATAATCTGTTTTAAAGAGATCAGGATGGTGAGTTCCTGATCCTTTTATCCATCCTATTCTCCCCAGATGTTAATAAAAAGACTCTCCTACCTGGGTAGAATGAACTCAGGGTCAAAGGAAAGATAAAGCTGTCCGCTCCTTACCTTGCAACGTCAATGTAGTGAGAATGTGTTTCTTCCTCAAGACCCATGGCTGCGTTCCTTAAGTAAGACTGGAGAGACTCCACCAGGTTTTGCAAAGGAACATCGGTTATTTGCTCAATGAGGTTATCAAGCTCATTCAGCATACTTTCCAAGGTATATTCTCCTTTCATTAAGCACCTAAGGGCTTCTGGAAAGATGATCTGACGGAAATTTGAATTCAGTTCCTGTCAGAAAAACACAAAATGCTTCAAATCCATAGGCATCCAAAAGAAAGAGTCAGCAGCGCTTAAATTAGGTATTTTTCCACGTCTTCCATGAAAGGTCATGTGAAGCAAAAAACTTTACTGCAGACTCAAGTGTTTTAAATACATTTGAAGAAGCAAGTTGTCTTCAGCGCATTGATAGGAGAGCACATGTACATGCATGCATGAGTATGACTCCCCCCCAATTTTCAATTATTTTTATTTTATGGTAATGGTTGTGAGAGAAGCCCATGAAGGGAGAGGTGTTGTGAAGGATGACGGTGAGGTGGCAGTTTCCCAGGAAGGGGAAAGAACCTTCCAGAAAGCGGGGGGGGGGGCAAGATAAAAGGCAGCACAGCCTGGAGCAGACAGGAGACAGAGGAAGAGAGGTAGGACAGCCACTCCCTCGAATCTCCCAGCGTATACAATATCTGTTAGAGTGAGAGCAACATAGATTTAGTCTGGCAAAATTCTGTCTATATTGTCTGTAAGCAAATAAGGAACTGAATTCTGCCTGAACTGTTCCGTGTTGTTCTTGGCTTAGCTTGAAAATGGTGCAGGTTTACTACACCCAGCCGCTTTCTTTAACTTTTAAGAAAATGAGTAGTAACAGTACTTAGCAATATCACTTAGAGATATATCACTTCACGGTGCTTTCCAGCCCTCTCTAAGCGGATTAGAGTCAGCATCTCGCCCTCAACAATCTGAGTCCTCATTTTTTAACCGACCTCGGAAGGACGGAAGGCTGAGTCAATCTTGAGCCTGGTGAGATTTTAACAGCCAAATTGCAGGCAGCCGGAAGCCTGCATTCTAAAACCCACCACAGCTTTTAGACTTATATAGCGCTTCACAGCGTTTCCAGCCCTCTCTAAACAGTTTACAGAGTCAGCCTATTGCCCCCAACAATCCAGGCCTCATTTTATCAACCTCGGAAGGATGGAAGGCACAGTCAACCTTGAGCCGGTCAGGATCAAACTGCTGGCAGTGAGCAGAATTAGCCTGCAGTACTGCGTTCTAACCACTGTGCCACCAGTAACACAAATTCAATCAAAATATTGTTCCATTATGATTTACCCCAACAGAAAAGCTCTGCAGAGCAACAAGATGTATTAAAAGCACATTTTACCTGAAGGGAGATGTAAACTCCATTAGCAAGGTGAATAGCTTCTGATGCTTCAACAGGGTTAGGAATATCTAAATCCTGAGGGGTCAGGTGACACTGTTTGAGTAGCTGGACAAGACAGGTGACGTTGCCACTCATGCTACACAGTTCCTCCAAGAACCAGGCTCCGTCACGGGACGTCAGGTCCACAAGCTGTTCTCCGGCACTGGACGCAGCGCCTTCCATCATTAAATTACGCCTAGGTAAGAAATTAACTTGGTTAATTTGGTTAATGTTCTCCTCCCCCATTTTTTTTTATTTTGAAAGCTGATGGGAGGTATTAAAAAATGAAATTTGAGGCAGTTTGTTACTGAGCATTTGAAAGGAGGAACATAAACCAAAGGGAAACAAGTAAAATAAAAGAGTAAGTTAAAAAGAGTAAAACACAAATTAAAAAATGTGGCATCTAAAATATCATTGAGATTACCAGTTTTACGATATAACAGTAGCTATTAATGAAACTATGAGAAATGTATTAAGGTAGTCCTTGACTTATAACCATTCATTTCTGGCCTTTCAAAGTTACAACACTGAAAAAAGTGACTTAGGGCCAGTCCTCACACTTACAACTGTCCTCAACATTCTGACAATCACGTGATCAAAATTCAGGTGCTTGGCAACGGCATGAATTTACAACGGATCCTGGGGTCGTCTGATTGTCATTTGCGACCTTCCCAACTGGCTTCCAACAAGCAAAATCAATGGAGGAAGCCAAATTCACTTAATAAACGCACAATTCACTTAAAGACTACAATGATTCACTTAACAACTATGGCAAAAAGGTCATAAAATTGGATGCCGGCTGCTTAACAACTGCCTCGCTTGGCAATGAAAATTCTGGTGCCAATTGTGGTCCCAAGTCAAGGAATATGTCACTTTTAAAACTAAAAACCACTATTCAGCTTTAGACTACAAATACCTAAATTATCCTAATCTAAATCACTAACTAAACACGATCATAAAAACAGAGGTTGCACATTCACCGTGTTTTAAACATTATAATTGGTAAAACCAAAAGATCGAAGACGTTTTGAAAATAGAAAGAGTCTCGTCCTAACACCTGAGCCACTCGCGAGTCCGTTTTTGCCAAGCATCTCACCTGGTGAGGCTGCAGAGAGCAGAGATGATCACGCTCGCTAAGCTCAGGGAGCCCTCTTCTCCGTTTTCGTGGAGGAAGACTTTAATGCAGCGCTCAATTTCTTTTAGCTGCTCTTCACACACTGGAACCGTGACGGCTTCCTGCTTCAACCGTTCTACCTGTCGCATCAGCCTGCTGTTGATATCTGCCGCATAGCGTTGCAAAGTCATTTCCGTTGTACTGATAAACTGGCACACCGCTGGGGGAGGTTGAGGGGCATACTGTAATTCATACCTGGGAAAGCAATAAAATTATAAACGGGTAAGGAAACACTCCGCTACATGGTCTGTGACAATGCCAAAGCTGGTCCGCTAAGCATGAGCTGTGTCCCATTGTTAAAATGCTATAATCTTCTCAGAGAAAACATTGGAAATGGCATAATAATAAAGTACTAAAAAGCAGCCGAGTTTGGCAAAATTAAAGTGCACGATTGATGCAGGGATCAAAATACTTTAGGGGGGGGAAATGCGTATTTCTCATGCCAATATTTAGCACTTTAATGAGCCAAGTCGGAGGAAATTGATTATTTTGATCCCTCCTTCTATAGGTTTCTGTAGAGGGGAGGGGGGGGGAGAGAGAAAGAGAGAGAGAGAGAGAAAGAGAGAGGGGGGAGAGAGGGGGGGAGGGAGGGAGGGAGGGAGGGAGGGAGGGAGGGAGGGAGAGAGAG